TGTGTGTGTGTGTGTGTGTGTGTGTGTGTATGTTATTGTGTATGTATATATATATATATATATATATCTCTTGCATAGTTTCCCTTTAAAACTGTACTAGTTTATATACTTACTAGGCGAATCATTTAAATACTATCGCGTACATACGTTCTAATCATGATTGGTTTGCTGCTCTTGCACACAGGCCAATTGAACCTAACTGCCAATGAAACGAGGTCCATGGTCAAAGCGTTGTTCCAGGAATCCTCTATTAGGCGGTCGCAGCTGGCACGCCTCGACAACCGACCGTAAGAGGGCATAACACCGCTCAAAAACAAATAATCATAATATTAGTTACAATCAGTGGACACTCAGGTAGTATTGGTCATATGTAGTAGACACCCTGGTCAAAATTCATACTCATCAGACACCTTGGTTGTATTTGTGGCGTATATTGGTTGTATTAGTTATATTTAGGAGACAAGATTCACTTTTTAAGAGGCAAGATTTACTGCTAAAATTATATTAAGTATATTATGAACAAGTACCCCTGCCGACGTTCAGAGAAAAATGACAATATCATTATAGCTGATATATATCATAGTTAAATCGATGGATGTCGCACGACTTCGTGGAAGCATCATCTCAGGAGGCACAATATCTGCGCATACCCGCTGCAACCAGCGAATTTGGATTGAGAAACCATAAGCTCTAAATTTTAAAGCTCTAGAACCCCAGAACACTAGAATTCTACACCCCTGGCAGAGTCCGTGAAGTGTCTTTAGTTCAACTTCCTCCAACATTTGACCATCGGAAAATGTGCAGTGCGTAGTTTCAGAGTCCATGGAAGATCTTTTGGCATCTCTATTGCAGCTGGTAGTATTCATTAATAAATCGGAAATGTCCGTTGATATTGTTGAGATTCCTAATTTATAATCCTGCAGGTTCTTAATTACGATGACAGCACTTCCCGTGCAATCTCAATTATTTAATTTCAGATTAACTTGTGTAAAACCAGAGCTCTCTACCCCAGAACCCTTTCTGCGCATGTGAGTGAATACATGAACAAAAGAGCATTTCTAAAGATCGATTCTGATAATCTCGCGGCTTTTAGTACATGTACATTATGAAGACCCGCCTGGAAAACTGGTCGATAGGACAGTATAAACTTGTAGGTAATTGGTTTCGACATAATACAAAGAGACTCTCTAAAGGAAAGTCTACCGTTCCTTCATCTTAGGTTATGCCGCGTGCTAAGCTCAAAGCTCCGTCTCAGGTCCCACACGGGCACCGAACATGGTCTGGATCTAGATCTCTCTCTCTTGACAATCTCGCGACCATTCCTCTCAGCCGTAATATCATTGTGTCTCCCGTATCTGACACTTATATTTCCGATATTCCCGATGTTGCTGCGTCCGGCGATGACCTCGCCCAAGTGCCATGGAAGTCTACGCTGTTCGGTATCAAATCCAAGAACCCTACGCCGATCTTGGCTTTGGAACTTGGAAAAGATTCAACGTTCTCCTTAGCAAGCATGACATTGGACGATGAAGTACTCAATGTTGCCATGTCGTTCACGCTTGTTTTGTGTCTGTGTGGAATCTATCTGGGCATACTATTTTTATTCTACGTTCTCACTTAATATTTGTTATATAGATGTACAGTACAAATTTCGAGATCGAAAGGAAGAGGTATAGTTGGCAGTGCCTTAGTGAGTTGAAATTCATATATATATATATATATATATATATATATATATCATGTTCCTACCTGTGTACGTACTTATAGTTGTATATCACTGTTTGGCAGCGTCTTTATCAATTAACCTCCTGTTTTATGTAGGCACCAATGCCGGGCGAAACTGACGAAGCTTACCAACAAGTCATAGAAGCCACGCGGATTTTCGAGACCGATATGGTGTTGAAAGGCATCGCCCAGGGTCCTGAAGCGGATAGGTAAGGCTCACACACTCCCGATTTTTAATGACGATTTATGGGCATGCTTAAGAGTTGGAGAATACTGGTATGAGAGTATAGATTTTATCCCGCACGCACTAAGTGTGATCTCTCTGAGACTGGTGATGGTAAAATTCGATATCTTCCATCCTTGTATTTAACCATATCTCAAACACATGTGGCAATGTGTGCATATCGATGACTCATTGCGATGTTCAATATACTCATCTGACATATCCCGTTCTACTGCAAATTCTTTGTACAACATCACGAGAATCACGAGAAACCAGTCGGGGATCGATATGGGACGCGCAGTGTGTCTGTGTTTACTACTATCATACTCACATATTTCATACGACTTTTATTATATATATATATGTGTGTGTGTGTGTGTGTGTGTGTGTGTGTGTGTATATAAATATATATATGTATGTATATAGTATATATATATATATATATATATAATATATATATATATATTATATATTATATATATATATA